ACTCTCTCCAGCTATGCCAGACAGCTGCCCAGATGCTACAGCCCCTTGCTCTCTCTTCTGTGTTCAACCAGCTCCCCCTCAGGGACTCCTTTCCTGACCAACCCCTGCTCCCCTGCTAGCAGCTCACTTCCTGTCCCCCATCACTTCCTCCCACTCTTCATCCATTTTGGTTTTCTGTCTTTTTTAAAGGTTTATTTATTACGTATTCCGTGCTCTGTCTGCATGTACCCCTGTGGGTCAGAAGAGGGCACCAGATCTCATTACCGGTGGTTGTGAGCCACCATGTGGTTGCTGGGAATTGAACTCAGGACCTCTGGAAGAGCAGCCAGTGCTCTGAACCTCTGAGCCATCTCTCCAGCCCCCTTGGTTTTCTGTCTTTCCCACTAAGGTGCAGTAGCTCCCCAAGAAGCTCTCCCTTCCTTTTCTACTGGTGTACTTCTTTTAAAATTAATTCTTATTTAAATTGAAACAATCTTATTTTACATACCAATCCCAGTTCCCTCTCCCTCCTGTCCTCCCATCCCCCCACCAACCCCCACCCCATCCCCCCATACACTTCTCAGAGAGGGTGAGGCCTCCCATGGGGGATCATCGAAGTCTGTCACATCATTGGAGGAGGACCTAGGCCCTCCCCCATGTATCTAGGCTGAGAGAGTACCCCTCCATAGGGAATGGGCCCCCAAAGCCTATTCGTGCACTAGGGATAAATATTGGTTCTGCTTCCAGAAGACCCATAGATTTCCCAAGCCCTCCAACTGATAACCACATCTGGGGGCCTGGTTCAGTCTTATGCTGGTTCCCCAGCTGACTTTCATACTCTCAGTGCCCAGGGCAGTGACTGACTCACGGTTGGTGCACAAAAATATTATTGCAGAATGAGTTATATGTTGTCTCTCTTCAACAGCTTTCTCTCTTCCGGCCCACCAGACAGGCGACGCCTCAGCTGGAAGCTGGGTCTGTGGCCCCTTTTTAAGAGACCTGTTTCCTGATCTCCCAAGCTGCACAAGGAAAGTCTAGTACCAACCCACCCTCTCGCCTTTGAAATCCTAATTTGTACAATGCTGTCCTTGTGTGTTTTTGCTTCTTCATCCCACCCTTTCTTTATCCTTGAGTAGGTGCCTCGGTCCATTTTGTGTTGCTGTAACAAAATACCCGAGGCTGGGTGCTTTCTAATGTAAGCGGGTTTATTTGACTCATGATTCTGATGTTTGGAGTATTTAAGCAGCCTGGGGCTGGCATCCTATCAAAGGTCCCCTGACTGTGTCACAGAAGCACAGAGGAGCAGAAAGTGGGCCAGTGGCATATGGGGAGGGCTAAGCATGTGGATGGCCTCCCTCCAGCAGCCTGCTTTCACGAGAGAACCAGATCAATATTTCCTAAAGACCATTTCCAGTGATCTAAACACATTTCATTAAGCTCCACCTTTTAAAAGTTTTATTAGCTCTTTGAGAATTTCATACAATGTAGTTTGTTCATAGTCTCAGATCAACTCCCCATCTTTCCACCCAGCTTTGTATGTGTCCCCCCACCCCACCCCCGTCATCAAGGACAATTTGTGCTACCCAAATATTCTTGGGTGAGTGACTTTGGGTTGAAGGATGTTCATCAGAGACTACACTTTTAGAGAAAACCGAGCCTCCCTCTTCCAATAGTTCCTTAGCTCTGGGGTGGAACCTTGTGCGGAGTCCCGCTTCTATAAAAAAAAACATTTACTTACTTTGTTTTTGAGTGGGGACCTGTTGTATCCCAGGCTGACCTTGAACTTGCTGTGTGGTCAAGGATGACCTTGGATTTCTGATTCTCCTATCTGTACCTCTAGGGTGCTACGATTACAGGCACACATCACCACACCCAGCTTATGTGGCATGGGGACCGAACCCAGGGTTTGCTGCACAGCAGGCGGGCACTACCAACAGAGCCGCATCCCCAGCCTGATGGAGTAATACCCTCTCCCCCTTCTCTATTCTACTCTGAAGGCTGAGCTACCAGCACACCAACTCCACCCATCATTACACTGAAGGCTGAGCTACCAGCACACCAACTCCACCCATCATTACACTGAAGGCTGAGCTACCAGCACACCAACTCCACCCATCATTACACTGAAGGCTGAGCTACCAGCACACCAACTCCACCCATCATTACACTGAAGGCTGAGCTACTAGCACACCAACCTTGGTACATACAAACCAAGCACAGACAGGAAGAGTCCTCAGACTGTATCAGGAGATGAGTGAGTGGATACATGGAAGGAAGGGAGGATTTTGGAATGTGAGGGCCAGGGATGGTTTCATGGCCCATGGCTGCACAAATGCACTGTCAATCACAGAGATACTCTGGACCATTTTGGGGTCCCAGAACAGCCTCATCTACCCCACTAGGGAACTTGCTAGTGATACCGTGGCCCCATCTCAGACCTCCTGAGTCAGAGACCAGCATGGAGCACAGCAGTATGAGCCTCATCAGGGCTCTTTCTAGGGCATTCTGATGCATGCTCAGGTTTGTACACCACTACAGTAGTGGGGAAATGGAGGCTAGGGTTAGGGAGATGACATGAAGGAACACACGCATACCTGCCTGGCACCCAGGACCACATAGCTCAGGGCTCTGCTCTTGCCACCCAACTAGGCTGCCTCACTTTGTCTTGTTACCAGAAGGAACGTTGTGTTCATCAGCCACCTTGAAAGCACTGGGATTGAATCTCCACTCTCGCAGGGGTTCTGGTTTCACTGGGGGCTTGCCAGGACTAAGGAAACACAGCTTCTCGTCATTTCTACAGGGCCCTGGGCTGCAGGAGTGAGCTGGGCTGTTGCATTGTATTTCACCAGAGGTGGCTCTGGCAGCCGTGTAATGCGATCGCCCCTGCCTGGCTCTCACCTTGGTTCTCCAATGCCCAGCACATGTGATTCAGTTTCCTCTGTGCGTGGGAGAGGACATGCGAGTCATGCCACCAATGCCAGGAGGGGCCAGGAGCTTGGACACTACCCGAGAAGTCCAGCGTAGCTGCTTTTCTTGCTCAGATTTGAATTTGTCCAGCACCCTCCAAACGTTTTTTGTAATTCCTGGACAGACTTCTTTATAGGCATGTTTTCTTTTTTTTTTCCAGCCCAAATCATTAATAGTATAAAAAACTGCTTAACTCTTCACCTTACCTGGTGCCTTTTCTGATTGCTAGTAGAGACGGCCTTCTTATTGAGTTTTAAGAAGTGAACTTTCTAGTTTACTTTTATGTGTGTGTGCCATACCTGTGCGTAGGAGTTAGTGCCTCTCTGGAGGCACATATATGATCAGAGCATGCCTTTAGTGTCGCTCCCTTGCTTGAGATGATAGGGCCTTTCACTAGCCTATTACTTTACCAAATAGGTGAGGCTATCCGGCCAGCAAGCTCCGGGAATCTTGCTATCTGAATCTGCCATCTTTCTCTCTATGGGATTACAGGTACACGTGGCCGTGCCCAGATTTTATGTGGGTACTAGAGATCTGAAGTTAGGTCCTCATGTTTGCCAGGAAAATGTTTCAAAATGGAGTTGTTGCTTGTTTGTTGATAGCGCCTATCTGAGGGGCTGGAGAGAGGAGACTCAGGGTTTAGGAATACTTGCTATTCTTGCAGAGGACCAGGATTTAGTTCCCAGGACACCCCAACCATCTGTATCTCCAGTTTCAAGGGATCCGATGCCCTCTTCCGGCCACTATAGGCACTGCAAACATATAGAGCACAATCACACACCTAGGAACACACATATACACATAAAATTATTAAATAAATTTTAACAAAAATGGACCAGTATTAGTAGGGATGACTTGCTGTCTTTGGTGCTTTGAAAGAAACTACCCCCCCAAGGGAGCACTATTAGGAGGTGTGGTCTTGTTGGAGGAAGTGTGTCACTGCGGAGGCGGGCTTTGAGGTCTCATATATATATGATCAAGACACTGACCAATGTCTCAGAATACTTTCTGTTGTCTGCAAGCCAAGATGTCAGACTCTCAACTCCTTCTCCAACACTAGGTCTGCCTGCACACCCCATGTTGCATCATGATGGTAACAGACTAAACCTTTGAAACTGTAAGCCGCCCCAACTAAATGTTTTCCCTTTATAAGAGTTATTATGGTCATGGTGTCTCTTCACAGCAATAGAAACCTTAACTAATGAAGTCTCTTGGTCTTGGCTTGCATCTTCTTAATGTTTAGTGGTTTGGGGAATATTTTCCTGTATTGTTTTTATATCATCCTTGGAGAAATGTCGGTTCAAGTTCCTCTGGCTAGTTTCATTCTACAGATGTCTTTGTATGCTGTAGATATTGACGGCTCTGTATAGAGGAATCTTAGTTAGGGTTTTATTGCTGTGAAGAGACACCATGACCATGGCAACACCTATAAATGAAAACGTTTCATTGGGGGGGGGGGCTTCCAGTTTAGAGGTTCAGTCCATTGTCATCATAGCAGGAGAGCATGGTGCTGGAGAGGTAGTTGAGAAATCTACATCTGGATTGGCTGGAAGCAGGAAGAGAGATTGCCACTGGCCCGGCTTGGGCCTCTGAAATCCCAAAGCTCTCCCCCAGGGACACACTTCCTCCAACAAGGCCACAACTCCCAGGAGGGCCAAGACCTATGAGCTTATAGGAGCCATTTTTTATTCAAACTACCATACAAAAAAAAAATTAAAAATTCCCTCCCATTTTTTGGCACTTTTTTTCTTTGTTGAGAGTGTGGTTCACACACCTTTTCATTTGGATACAGTTCATTACCTGATCCAACCTCATGGAACTTTCTCTCATGTGCTTTTCCTACCATTCTTGCCTCTTTTAGCTTTGATATTTAAGTCTTTGGCTAATTCTGAGTTAATATTTGCATGCAGGATAATGGAAGGTCCAACTTCATCCTTTTGCCTGTGGGTTTCCCACTGTGTGGTCTTGGCACCTTTCACCGGCATACTCTAGAGGTGACAAGCTTTGATTGGGATGACACTGTGCATGCTAACACGTGTGTTTCTCCTGCTTAGGAAGCATCACACTGTTCGCATTCATCACCATCATCCTGGGATGCTTGAAAGTTGCATACTTCATTGGATTTTCAGAGTGCTTGTCAGCCACGGAGGGAGTTTTCCCAGTCACCCACGCCGTGCACACCCTGTCACAGGTGAGCTGCTGGTGCTTGTTCACGCTGCCTCTGCTCCGGTGTCCTGAGGTGCGCAAGCCCCCACCACATCAACACATCTAGCTGCTAGGACCAAATTTAGAATGTTTCTGTGGCTCCCACCAGGCATCATGAGCTGGTCCAGGCACTTCTCTGGAACACTGGGACTCTTGTTTCCCCTCTTGTGGGCTGGAGCCTTTTAGAACAGTATGAGGTTCTTGTTTTCAGCTTGGATTTGGATGATGAACTTGGCTTGTTTTGTTTTGTTTTAAAGTAAGGATTTGATAGATGCCATTTAAATACATAGCTCACAGGCAGAAATGCTTAGACTCTAGTGCCTTAGCCGGGTTCTGGTGGCTGAGAATTACTCTGATAAGGAAAGTCATGGCCAGCATCTTTACAGCACTCGAGGATACACAAAGTGTTTTCTTGTGTTGAGTTCTTGTTCCCCAGCTCGTGGCACTATTTTTTGGAGGCCATAGAATCGTAGGAAGGTAGGTCTTGCCTGGTAGAAGTAGCCACTGGGCTGGAATATTGATGGCTACAAGCACAGCCACTGGTTCTGGCCTTGTTCTGGTCCCTTTCTCTGCTGCATGTTCTGACATGATGTGACAGTCATCTGTCACACACTCATACCACCACAAACACCACGCAGGACTATAACTGTATGAAACTATGAGTCCACATAAGCCTTCCTCCTTTAAGCTGTTTCTGTCAGGAAGTTTGGTCCAGTGTTCAGCAACAAATTCGTGTTCGTTGACAAATAAATGGATGGAGAAAGATGCTCTGTATCCACGATGGAATACTATCCAACCATAGCAATAGTGAAATCCCACCACAGGCGGCAGCACAATGGAACTGGAGGATGTCACATTAAATGAAATCAGTCCAATACGAAGGCAGATCTCATGTTGCCTCGACTGACCAGGATGCCCTTGAACTCCCGATCTCTCTGCTTCAACCTCTGAAGTTCTCTGTGTTAATGCTTTCGTTTATGTAGCACTAGAGGTTGAAAGCCTCTTGCTTGCTAGGCTGGCGCTCTATCAACTGAGGTACATCCTAGCAAGCCAGGCATAGAGAGACAAACACTGTGCTCTCGCATGGACAGGAAAAAGACGTGCAGAAAAGAATAGAGACTACTGGAGCCTGGGAAGGCTGTAGGTGTGTAAGGGCTGGTGAGAGGCTGGCTAGTAGGTACGGAGGGTGGCTGGAGAGGGGCAAGAACTTCTAACGCTCTGCAGCACAGTGAAGGGAGAGGGCAACAATGGGTGGCAGACATGGAATGAATATTTCCAAATAGCTAGTAGAGTCTGGTGAATATTCTCAACATAAAGAAACGAGCAAAGAGGCTCAGCAGTTAAAGGGACTTGTGTGCAAGCCCGGAGGCCTGAGTCCAAGCCCTGGGACTTGGGCAAAGGTGGAAGGAGCCAATTCCACAGTTTTCCCTTGACCTTCACAAGTGCCACCCACGTGCGCATGCACACACACATGCACATGCATGCACACACACATGCACACACACCACACGGACAGGATGACTCTATGTGCTCATTGCACACTGCACATGTAGGAAGGGCATAGCTATGTACAATTACTATGCTAGTCAGTAGCAAACATATTTTAATGTAAGAACGGATGCTGGATCATCAATCTTTTCTCCACTCTGTTATTTAATATATTCAACACGTATAGCATGATGTTTTCACATATGTACACATGGAGATGATTATAGTCAAGAAAATTGCTATATCTGGTGCCTCAGTTTCCCTTCTTGGTCTTATTAGTCTTATAAGCCAGTTCTGGCAAGCCCCCAGCAGACATCACAATATCCCAGCTGTAACCCTTATCTTGGCCATCAGCTCTCGACAGCCACCCTGCATGCTTGCCAGTTTGGGCCCTTTGCCTGCATCGTCCCACTCCGTCCCCACTCAGTCTCTGTTCTACTGTGTATTCAAGTCCTCATTTTTGAGATTCCATATTTGGTGGGCTCATGCACTGCCTGTCTTCCTGTTCCTGGCATATTTACTCGGCATAATGTCCTCCAGGTTTGTCCACATTACCATAGATGATAGAATTAAGTCTGGTTTTCTGAGGCACTGACTGGAGCTCGGAGAAGACTAGAGACTTGCTTACATTGTGTACGGCAAGAAGCAACGCTATTTCCTCCTCCTGAGTCACCCTGGAAGACCATGGTTCACCGAAACATACTGTTCCGATACGCTGGACTTCCAGCTTGGCCATACCCTTCAGAAACAGGGTTGGACCCCGGGGAGGGAAACCATCTTCTACTCTGCTTCATATCCTTCTTAGGCTGGGCAGACAGCTCTGATGATTAGGAATGCTTCTAACGCTTCATCCATCCCAGGCAAGATCAGCTGAGCAGAGGTAGCAGAGGAGCTTGAGTAGCATGCTTCAGTGGTGCACTGGTGGGAAAGGCTGAGGGCTCACAAGGGGACAAAGGGAAGGGGCTGCCTGGCAGGCAAAGCTGTTCTGTCCATTTGATGAATTCCAATTCTCAGCATCTTGGAATGTGGCAATAGTGGATGACCGGGCCTTTCAGAGGTCACCACTGGGGGTGGTGCTGATCCAGTATAACCTGTGTCCTTACTAGACCACAGGCACACACAGAAGGACATCCACGTGAGGTGACACATTGAAAGGATATCATCCACGGGTAGGGAGAGAGGCCCCAGGAGAAACTGACTCTGCTTACGTCTTGAACTTGGACATTCAGCCCCCAGAACTGTAGATGTGTTTAGTTTAAGACACTTGACTCTGGGACATGGTGATGGTAGCTTGATCAGTTATGCCCCCCCCACAACAGATACCCTCAATCAAATGTAGTCTTATCCACAGTCGATACCCTCAGTCCAATGCATCCCATCTATAGTAGACATTCTCAATCAAATGCAGTCTTATCCACAGTAGATACCCTCAGTCCAGTGCATCCCATCTATAGTAGACATTCTCAATCAAATGCAGTCTTATCTACAGTCGATACCCTCAGTCCAGTGCATCCCATCTATAGTAGACATCCTCACTCATATGTAACCCTCATCTACAGTAGACATTCTCAATCAAATGCAGTCTTATCCACAGTCGATACCCTCAGTCCAGTGCATCCCATCTATAGTAGACATTCTCAATCAAATGCAGTCTCTTTAGTCTCATTAATAAAAAAAAACTTAAGAAAGTACTCAGGGGGGCTGGAGAGATGGCTTAAGCGGTTAAGAGCACTGGCTGCTCTTCCAGAGGTCCTGAGTTCAATTCCCAGCAACCACATGGTGGTTTACAACCATCTAGAGTGGGACATGATGCCCTCTTCTGGCATGCAGGTGTACATGCAGATAATAAATCTTAAAAGAAAAAAAAAGAAAGAGTACTCAGAAGGAAGCTTGTAGACGGCTTTGTTAGAGTTTTAAAGAAAATAGCAACAGCAACAACAAAACCAAAAACAAACAAACAAAAAACCAAACTAAACAAACAAAAAAAAAAAACAAAAAACAAAAATCAGAGCCTGCAAGCTGCAAGTCTTGGCAGCTGCCAGGAGAAGGGAGATGGAGAGCAACCATGCCTTTTGAGTTAGATATGGAGGTTAGCAAGTAGTCACATGGCAGACAAGCATAAGGTAGCAGGCTTCAGAGAAAGAGTGAAGGAGCACCCAAAAAATGACCAAAAGTAGGAAAATGGGGATTGAAAAAAGAAAAGTTGTTCTGAATTAAAAATGGGTAAACTTAACCTAGCCCGAGTGGTGCCGTTCTAGTGACCACACAGTGGGTGGGGATTCTGGGTAGGAAAAGCGCATTGTCTCCTTAAGGGAATAATTATTCCTCCCATATGTTTAGCATAGTGTAAAGCGAGTCCACATTCATGAGATGTGGTCCCTTGGCCAGGTGACTGACAGACACAGCTGAGTTCATGCCTATGTTTTGGGTAGGCCGGAATATTAGGTCTCCACCCAGGCTAGAGATTTTATTCCGTTGGCTAGGAGGAAATACTTTTCTTTAAAGAGTCTCAATAGAACCCTGGCCTTTCAATGCTCCTGTAATAATATCCTCAGTCAGATGCTGCCCTCCATTTGCTTCAGATAGGTTTAGTCAAATGCAGCCCTTCATCCACTGCAGAAATCCTGGGGCCTGGCCCTGTGATGACTAGTGCTCTGATCAGGGTGGAAGAGGACAGAACAGAGTATCTTGCCAGTGTGGGGTGAGGTACCATGTCTGCCAGGGCAAGACTGCATCTTGTCATATGGGGAGTGTGTGTGTGTGTGTGTGTGTGTGTGTGCAGTGTTTCTATAAGCATGGTTAAGCATGTGCACATTCTTTAGGAGCCACCTATTTTAGCCAGCATCTCTGCTGCTGTGCAAAAATACCAAAATCACCGCGGGGACAGGGTTTACTTGGCTCACAGCTTATATTCCACCATCAAAGGAGGGCAGGAACTCGAAGGAGGAGCCTGGAGGCAGAGACCATGGAGGGACATTTCTTACTGCCATGTTCTCTCTAGCTTGCTTACTTAAAATCTTATGTTTATTTGATGTGTATGAGTGTTTTGTCTGCACAATTGTCTGTGTCCCTGGAGGCCAGAAGAAGGTATCAGAACCTTTGGAACTAGAGACAGTTGTGAGCTGCCATACGGGTGTTGGGAATTAAATCTCGTTCCTCTGGAAGAGCAGCCAGTGCTCTTAACCACTGCACCCTTCCACACAGCTACCATTCTTTTTTATATATATATATATAATTTTTTATTTAATTTTATATAACAAAGTCCAATTAAATGAAAACAAACATTTATACACAATATTTGGGAATTTGGGCGTCATTCTTTCCAAACTACTTCCTGCTGATAAGGGGCGCTGTCTTGGGGGATTCGAAGAAGATTCAGATATCCTAGCTGTAGTCTGTAGGGCTGTTTTGTCCAGCTGTTTTGAATGTAGGATCAGCTTGTACTCTGTTTCAGGTGGTCTGGCGTGATCAAACCACATTAGTCTGGAAGGAATCCACATCTTTTCATTTTCTGTGGAAACAAAAATAGAAATCCTTTTCCCCAGTAACTTGTTCTTCAACTTAAATTTTGGAGTCAAAGCGTTTTTTTTTTTTTTTTTTTTTTTTAATTTATTATTTTACATGTCGATCCCAGTTCCCTCTCCCTCCCTCCCTACCTCCCTCCCCTCCAGCCCTCCCTCCCTCCTTCCCTCCCTTTTGCCCTCTCTACCCTCTCCCATGCACTCTAAACACCCTCCCCTCCCAACCCCCCACCACAATACCATATGTAGGGGAATGCCATCCAGTTGGGGTCATGTAGATCTGACAGGTCCTGTGAAGTAGGGACTAGGGCTTCTCTCCTATCTCTAGAATAAGGCAGTTATCCCTCCATGGGGGATATGTTTGCAAAGTCCTTTTGTGCACCAGGGATACATCCTGGCTCCACTGTCTGAGGTCTCTTAGACTGCTCAGACCTTCTGGCTGAGACCCATATTCAGGGGGGTCCGAGTCAGTCCCCTGCTGGCTTCCCAGCTATCAGTCTAGTGGCCCTTAGCTCCTCCTTGTTCAGGTAAGCTGTCTCTATGTACTTCTACCGCATGGTCTTGTCCTCTCCATCTGCTTCTGGGTTCTAGTTCGACTCAGTGTTTACGTATGGGTGTTTGCTCCTATTTTCAACAGGCATTAGTTGAGGGCTCCATGGAGAAGTTAGTTGTTGATCTCACTCTCCGGGAAGGGCATTTATGATAGCCTTTCCACGGAAGCTGAGATTGTTAGTTGGGAGCAGTCTTGTAGTTCCCTCGACCTTTCTTTGTGTTCAACTTTATCTTCAAACCAATATTGGCTCCCTCTTTTATGTTCTCTCTCTCTCTCTGTCTGTCTGTCTGTCTCTCTCTCTCTCTCTCTCTCTCCTATTTTCCATTCCTAACCAGGCTCAATCCTCCTGGTCGCACATGCCTTCCTCTCCTCCCCCTCATTTTCTCCTACTTCTCTCTCCATTCGCTGCCCCCCCACTTCCCCTGAGCTCTGGGGGACTTGTCCCTTCCCAGTTCTGTGAGGGACTTTATATGAATCTCTTAAAATACACCTTGTATCCTAGTTCCTCTGGTGATGTGAATTATAGGCTGGTGATCATTTGATCTAGTTCTAAAATCCATATATGAGTGAGTACATACTGTGTTTCTCTTTTTGTGACTGGGTTACCTCATTCAGGATGGTTTCTTCAAGTGCCATCCACTTGCCTGAGAATTTCAAGATACCATTATTTTTTTCTGCAGATTAGTATTCCATTGTGTAGATGTGCCACATCTTCATTAACCATTCTTCAATTGAGGGGCATCTAGGTTGCTTCCAGGTTCTTGCTATTACAAATAGTGCTGCTATGAACATAGTTGAACAGATGTCTTTGTTGCATTGATGTGAATCCTTTGGGTATATGCCTAAGAGGGGGATTGCCGGGTCCTGTGGTAAACTAATTCCCATTTTCCTGAGGAACTGCCATACTGATCTCCAAAATGGCTGTATGAGTTTGCACTCCCACCAGCAGTGGAGGAGTGTTCCACTATCTCCACATCCTCTCCAACATAAGTCATCACTGGTGTTTCTAATTTTAGCCATTCTGGCAGGGGTAAGATGGTATCTCAAAGTTGTTTTGATTTGCATTTCCCTGATAGCTAAGGATGTGGAGCATTTTCTTAAGTGTCTTTCAGCCTTTTTGATTTCCTCCATTGCACAGCTACCATTCTTACACAGCTCAGGTCCACCCGCTTAGGGATGGCACTGCTTACAGAGGACTGGGGTCTCCTACATCAATTAGCAATCAGTAAAAAACGCCTCACAAACATAGCTACAGGTCAATCTGATGAAGGTCATTCGTCCACGGAGGTTCCTCTTCCCATGTGACTCTGGGTTGTGTCAAGTTGTGACATCTGAAGCTAACTATGACACCATCTATTTTTATATTTTGAAACAGATTTCTTATTGGTTTAGGGCTTGGCAATCCAGTTAGGTTATTTGCTCAGTGAGCCGTAGGGATTCAGCTGTTATGTGGCTTCAAGGGATAGGACTCAGGTCCTTAGGCTGGCACAAAAAGTACTTTACTGAGTGAGCTATCTCCTGTGTGATATATTTCTTTTTTATTTTAGCCTCCCTTGACCCAAATTTCCAATATTTAAGACCGTGTTTACCCATTGACAATTTTACATATGTGTATAATACACTCTGGTCCCATCCATCTTTCTATTCTCTGATCCCTCTCCCACCCACACTAACACACCCCTCCTCCACCAAGTCCCCTCCCAGTTTCATGTCTTTTTATTTTGGTTTGGTCATTGCTTTATTTAACCAGGGCCAGCCATGTGAGCTCTGGAACCTGAAACACTCCTGGTCCCGAGCATTCAGATCCACAGGGAGTCTCCTTCTCCCTCACACTGTTAACGATGTCATGGCCAGGGGCTGGGAAGCATATGTGAGAGTCAAAAGGAGCCCGATCCAAACCAATCCTGCTCTTCACTGAAAGTACTCAGCCCTTGCTTTCTGGACACTGGTGCACAGTAGCTATTCACTGGGAAATTATTGGATAAAACCTGACAAGTATGACTGAAAAACAAGTTAGTGGGTTTCATGACAAACAGACTGATGCCCACACGCCTATCTCCGAGCAGACATCCTCAATCAATTGCAGCACAGCTCCATCCACAGCAGACACTCGTAATTGATTGCAGCACTCCTTCCACCTGGCTACTCACAGGATCACTATTCCCACTGTAGAGTGGCTCTGCTGAGGACAGTCATCTGCTTCACCACCCCCCCCCCTCGCTCCCGTCACTTCTCAAGTGTGCAAACAGAATAGCAGTTGCCCACTAATGTGTTTTCCTTTATTTCTAGGTCTATTTTCTCTGGGGCCATGCTAAGGATATTATCCTGTCTTTCAAAACATTGGAAAGGTAAAACATCGCTGTACATCTCAGTTGGTATTTGTTTAGATTAAATGTTAGAAGAATCCAGACTCAGAACTGGCATCCAGCTGGGGTTAGAAGCCCTGGGAGCAGGTTCCTGCTCCACCCTGAAAGCAACACCCTTCTAGAACTTCAGTTCCTTCCAAGCCATTCCTGGAAGACAAGGATGTGGGTGGGAACTCTGCTGTCACCACCCACTTCCCTTTCACGTCCCTCCGTTTACTCGCCTGTGAGGTGGGGGCAGTGAGGTGGCCCACCTCTGAGGATAAGTGTTGCAAAGTGCATGGCCTGTGTCCATCGAGGGTTGGACCTGCCACCAGTTCTCCCTGGTTGTGATGCGGCCAGAAGGAAGAGGTGAACACTGCAAGGGCAGGTAAATATGGGTGGATTGAGAACGAGCCCTTGCTCTATGGAAAGATCTGGTATTGCACACCATTTCCTTGGGGGAATCAATTCCTCCCTTCCAGCATTCGAGGTGACTACTGGCTTTGAGAAGATTAGTTGATGTGTGACCACTGGGTAGAACGGCTTCAACAGACTGCAGATGTAGAGACCGTCTATTGCCAAGGACATCGTTTGTGTCTCCAGTTTGCACAGGGCTCGGGGCCAGGTGCTGTGGGATGGGTGGTGATGATACTGAGGTGTCCTTGGCTGTGTGAGTTGTCATCCATCGTGTGGCCCAGACAGTGGCCTTGGCAGTGATCTTTAACCTTGGGGTCAGCAATACCAGAAGGCCCACCTCCTGGTCAAGATGGGCAGGGGCTGAAGTATGCTCAACTGGTTCCCGCAAGGGCATGGGTAGTCCCTGAGATCCAGAGCCTCCAGAAGCCATCACTGATAATTCTTAGTGGCTCTTGGTAGAGTGATTATCTAGCATGCATGGTCCTGGGCTCAACCCCTAGCACTGAATAAACCAGGCATAAAGGTGCTTGTCTGTAACCTCAGACTCAGAAATCAGAGACAGGCGAGTCAAGGGGTCAAGGGTCACCCTTGGCTATGTAGGGCTACTGAGATTGAGACCAGTCTAGGCAAAGGCTTCCATGGCCACTATCTGGTCTCTACCCACTTCAATATGAGGGTATGCTTTCCTGTCTGTTAATGTGTTGAACAAGATGACAAACATTTTGAATTTCTGTCTCTTAGATTTCAGATGTCAACTTCTTTAGAAAAAGTGGACGATGAGCAAGTCTCAAGCATATGTCATGACCGAGGCTAGAGTTGAATCTAGGGTGCTCCTCTAGGGAGGGCTGGCCTCGCTTGAGGCGAGCCCCACAGCTCCCAGTTGTTATGCTGGCAGTTGTGGTAACATCCTGCATGAGCAGTATGATCGCCTCTAACTCGACATCTCTTTTGTCGGTGGCCCTGGAGGGTTTCTCCCAGGTAGGGGATTACCCCTTTTGGGATGTCACCCATCTCTTTCCCCAGACATGCACTTGAGTGGGAACACAGGTCTTCAAACATCGTAGGAAGCCCAAATGGATACCAGAGATGACTCCCAGGATGCATCCTATCACTGGACTGGTTGAACAGGCACTAAGTGTGGGGAGGGCCTCAGGCTTAGGACATGACGCTTGCCCTTACCGTGAAGGACTTTTCTCAAATTGGCCTTGGAAGGCCATGGTTCTCAGGGTGGTTCATGGCCAAACAGCATGACCCTTGGTGACCTCACGCTGCTTCTGTGGCTCCAGCAGGCTCAGGATTGGGCACTCCTGCATTGAGCAGGGACAGGGGAAACAGAAGGGCAGCTGTGTGCACCGTAATAAAAAGAAAGCCACCTGCCACAGGTAATGGCATTGTCTGGTCTGTGAAAGGCTGTATAGAGAAAGCCGGCTGTGAGTGGTAGCTACAGTGCAGGCACAGGGCCAGGCCAATGGACAGACACCCGTGTTCTCTTTTATTTCCCCCCCTGCATTAGCTCTGGTAGTTGGGCAGATGCCAAGATGGCCATATCACACAACAAGGTACTGCCTGCCCTGGTTCTTGGGATGCCTGGGCTCAGCTGGAGTAGATGCTCATGGGAGAGGCAGGAAGGACTGGGACAAAGATGTTCTTGTTTTCCCATAAGTCAATCATGGATAGGTGGTCTCTAAGATGGACAACAGAGCACACATGGCTATCTCTGGGTAAGACAAGGCAGTACCCACAGCAGCCTTTAGACTTTCCTCCCTAGTATACTGCTGGATGCCTCTCTCAGACAGCCAGCTGCTGTGTCTGTAGAGTGCCCAGAAGCTACCCTAAGTGGATACAACTGCAGACTGCAACCACAGTAAGATGTAGGGAATTCACAGCAGGCAGGGACCACATGGAGACCATGTGTCCTTCTCTAGAATCCAGTGTCCACCCTTGCATGTGCCCTCTTCCTGATCAGACAGCGTGGTTTAGAGGCTAAGATTCTTCCCACTAATCCAGCAAGGCCACTTACTCTGGGCGTGGCAGTGGAGGAATTTCTGAGCCTGGTGTCATCTGGAGCAGGCCTCTTCTGTGTTTACACTCTGCTGTCCTTGATGGCTTCATCCCATGCTGGTTGGCTCATGGTTACAAGATGATGGCCACAACCTCAGCCTTCATGTCCTCACTCAAGACTGTTAAAGGAGACAATGTTGAAAGGAAAAGGTGTCCATAAACAGGCTCTTATAATTCTTTTATTGATAGGTGGGAAAGTGGAGGAATGGACAGTGATAAATTTCTGGGTTAGCTACATGGCATCTCTTTGTTCAAAATTCCCACCTACCTAAATTATGCCTGTCCATTTGCCAAAACAACTTTATTCATCAACCAATAAAAACAACACATATTTACAGCATACAAAAAAAAAAAAAAAAACTCTCCTACATCAGGGGTTCATAAACGGGCTTTTATAATTCTTTGATTGGCAGGCGGGAAAACAGAAGAAATGGACAGCCATGATTTCTGGGTAGGTCAATCAACAGCGAGGACATACCTGCTGTCCACAGTCCACCTGGCCCTTCTGTCTCCTTCATTGTTCTTTCTTTGTTTCCCCTTTGGAGAAAGAGTGGATTTTGGGCGTGCTTGCTTGCCTTTAGTAAATTTTCTTCCCCGTATCCCAGCTCCCAAGATGCATTGTCTTTCATGTCCCACAGACAAGGAGTTGAAGATGGGCAAGTTCAAGGTGAAGGCAGAATGCCCAGATGCGAAGACTCTCAGCCAGCTGGACCAGCCGCTGAGGGAGGAGAATCGTGTGTGTGCACATGCGTAAGATGTTTCAGTCTTACCCATGGGCCCCGCACATTTCCGGGGCCGCTCCAGAGAAGGTGTCTGATATTTGTGCTTTCAGGTTCGGGGTGATCCACTCAGTGTTCACAAATCTGCTGCTGTGGGCCAACAGCGTCCTGAATGAGTCGAAGCACCAATTGAATGAGCACAAGGAACGGCTTATCACCCTGGGCTTCGGCAACATCACCATAGGTGAGGACGCCTTTCCCTGCTGGACCATCCAAGTCCCTGGGAAGCCACCCGGGCAGATAGACCCTACTGTGGACTGTTTTTCTAACTCCACAGGCCTTCATTCTGACTCCCCAAGGCAGTAATTATAGACCTCACCTGACTTGGGCATGCAGAGACCCAGGGTTATCATTTGAGTATCCGTCTCTCGCAGCCCATTGGCTGGAGATCTCTGTGCCTATTTTCCACTGTGGAAGATTGGTGGTTTTCTCTGTTGGTGTTTTAATTAGGACCCTTTCAGCAAATCCTTCTTCTGAGAGGTTGGCCTAGGAAGTTCTCAGCTTGCCTTTGTGCGTGGGAAGGTTTTTAGCTGTCTGCATTTGGCCCATTATTGCAGCTCATCTTTAATTTTCCCTTACTCTGCTGGGGAGACAGCCTGGGGTGGGGGTTAGCCCTCACGTCTTCTCCGGGAGTTCTTGAGCATGTATGGCTTCACCACATCTGTATGAGAACATCTGGACTGAGAAGAAGGCAGGTGGAGCACAGTGCACCAGGAAGTGGAGGACTTGAGTTTGGGTCTTGCTTTCATCAGGTGTCAGCTGTGAGGCCTTTGTAGGCTATCCAACCTCTCTGGGCCTGCCTTTCCTCTTTGTCAAATAACTCTGTGCTTTCAAAGACCCTTCCAGCTGCAGCCATCTGTGAGTGGGGCTGGGTAGATATGGGACTATGTCAAGCTACATGAGTGACTTTTACCCTCTGTGGGAAGGGATGTCTTTGGCATCAATCCCTCTTGGTAACAATAGCAGTCACAGCAGTGACAGTTTCATAATAGAAGCCAACTTTTATTAGGCACTGCCTGGCTTTTATTAGGCACGTGCTGACTACCAGGCAGGGCTCTAAGTATTTTACAAGGCTCATTAACTCTGGCCTGGCCTTCCTCTGAGGTGGGCAGTATTAACTATTAATGGGTAGATTGTGCCACTGAAAAGTGATGCGTCTGAGGTTGCACAGCCATCAAGAGATTAAAAGTCCTTGACCATCTCATACCATTTTAGTGGCATTTAGATGTAGGCTTTTCCTAATCGGGGCATTTCCCACAGAGCCTTGACAAACACAAACATAACACACACACACACACACACACACACACACAGGCACCATAGTCAAGAGAAAATTAGATCTCATAAGGAAGCAAGAGCCAGAAGAAACCCCTGCCCTCTTCCCACCAGAGAGAATTGGCACTACCCTTCTGGTTTATACACTGTCGGATCTTTCCTCTGTTTATGAATCAACCTCTCACTGTCACCCTCCTCTCTTACACAGGGGTGTGACAGTCTTAGTCCCCTTTAGCAGCCTACTTTTAAAGTCAGTGGTAGCTCTGGACCATCTTCATGTGGTGATTAGTAAATCTCTACTACGTTATTTATAATAACATCTGTACACTAACCTGCAGATAAAACATGGCTGATGCCATTCTGGGGGCAAATTGGAGCTTCTTTTTCTATGTAGCCATGGCATTAAACATGGTGTTAAACACAGTGCATATGCACTTTGGGTCTAGTAGAGAGGACCAGGCTGATGAGCTTGCTAGTCTCCTTCATGCCTGTTCTGATGGCTGTTTTCTGTCCTCTGCCTACTGCCCTAGTTTTGGATGACCACACACCACAGTGTAACTGCACACCACCTGCCCTCTGTTCTGCGCTCTCCCATGGAATCTACTATCTGTATCCCTTCAACATTGAGTACCAGATCCTGGCCTCCACCATGCTCTATGTGCTATGGAAGAACATCGGGCGCAGGGTGGACAACTCCCGGCACCAGAAGATGCAGTGTAGATTCGATGGGGTCCTGGTGGGCTCGGTACTGGGCCTGACAGTGCTGGCTGCCACCATCACGGTGGTTGTGGTGTACATGATCCACATCGGGCGCTCCAAGTCCAAGAGCGAATCGGCGCTCATCCTGTTCTATTTGTATGCTATCATCGTGCTGCTGCTCATGGGGGCCGCTGGGCTGGTAGGAAGCTGGATTTACAGGGTGGATGAGAAATCCCTGGACGAGTCCAAGAACCCTGCACGCAAGCTGGATGCGGACCTCTTGGTGGCCACAGCCTCGGGCTCATGGCTCCTCTCCTGGGGCTCCATTCTGGCCATCGCCTGTGCTGAGACCCGCCCGACATACACCTGGTATAATCTGCCCTACTCAGTCTTGGTGATCATGGAGAAGTATGTCCAGAACCTATTCATCATCGAGTCCGTGCACCGTGAGCCGGAGGGAGTACCCGAGGATGTGCGCACTCTGCGCGTGGTCACTGTCTGTAGCGGTGAAGCCGCCACACTGGCTGCATCCAGTCTCGGGAGCCAGGGGTTGGCTCGGGATGCATCGCCTGCAGTCAATGGGAATCTGTGTCTGCAGCAGGAATGCGGTAAAGAGGACCAGGAGGCTGGCTGGGAAGGGGCTGTGGGCACAGCCCGATGTCCGGACTTCCTGCAGGGTGGAGTCAAGAGGAGGCTTCTCAGAAACATCACGGCCTTTCTGTTCCTTTGCAACATCTCGGTAATCTTCAGCAACCTTCTGTTACAACCTCCCCCCCCCATGTGTGTGTGTGTGTGTGTGTGTGTGTGTGTGTGTGTACAAGTGTGTGGAGGACAGAATCTTCCTCACTCGATTCTCTACCCTGTTTTTGTGAGCCAGCACCCATCACTGAATCCTGTGCTGTTAGTTGGTTAGGTTAGACTAGCTAGCTAGTGAATCCACGAGACCTCCTATCTCCACCGCAGCCCCTCAGCTCTGGCCATGCCACCCAGCCAGGCTTTCTATGTGGTCTTCATGCTTACCCAGCAGGCACTTTCCCGTTGACCAGCTTCCTAGTCCTAAGTATTCAAATCAACCAATATTGTCCTCACCTTTTCCCAACAAGGCACAGGGGCTGTGATAAAAATAAGAAATCTCCTCTGGCAAATGAGTGGAGACTGACCGCTGGGTTAGAATGGGGAGGGCCACTGTGATAGCCATACATAGCACAGAGATGGCCTGGGTGGGTGGAGTTGGGGACTCATAGAAGGGCTGCGGGTGTCTCACAGGGACAGGGTGGTGGAGTGATGTGAGAGGGACAGAGGGAAAACACAGATGACACTGGGAGCTTAGAGCAAGCGTGGGGGGGGGGATGGGAAAGGCAGGGTCAGTCTGAGATGTGCTCCGAACACTCACGTGGCCAGTGGAAAATATATGCTGGCGTTCCAATAGTGGCTCCAATTCGGGGTTTAGGTGGAGGCAAAGGCCTCCTTCAGCTGGTGCTTACGGCCAAGGCTGGGGTGACAGCCCTAGGAGACATGTGCAGGGGGAAGGGAAGGGGACCCCTGAAGAGTGAGCAAACGAGGAGTTAGAAGGGGGACTGTTGATGGGGAAAGCTCCGAGATGGAAGGGAGAAGCCCAGGAAGCGGATATACACTGGAGAGAGTCCTGTGTGGAGATGAAAAAGAAGGCAGCATGTATAAGTCACTTGCTGCCTCGTAAGAAATAACCCCACACGTGGAAATTTAAAATCACAGGTGTTTATCATGTAGCTTCTCCAGGTGGTGAACCCAAGAGCTCATGATTCCAGCCTGGCTGTAGGCTGTTGGCTGTGAGACTTCTCTTTGGAGATTTGAATTCAGCCCCTTTGTAGGTTGTTGGACAGAAGACAGGAGTTCCTTGCAGCTGCTGGCCTGGAACCACCCTCTGTCTTTGTAGGGCAGCCCAGATAGAGGGTGACTGCTCTGGCCTGGGAGGCAGAGCAATTGACACATGCAATGAGTCAGAGAAGGGGCCCAGGGCCATGGAGGTGGCCCTGGCAACCTAGGGAGCGGTCAGGGGGAAGGAAGAGGGGAAGAGGCTCGAAGGATGTGGGGATAGTCATTTCTGTGACATCCTCTCATCAGCGCCCTCTAGAGTTAAGTTACAGACGAGAAAGCTGAGTCGGGGTGGAATGGAGAGAAACCTACGAATCTGTGTCTGAGTGCAAAGTGAGGGGTGGAGAGCATTGGTGAAGACTCATAGATTTGTGGGTTCCTCTGGAGGTGAGGAATGCTGTACCATCACCCTGGCCATTGCGACTCAGGCTGGGTCAGCATCTGTGGTACCTGGGATTTGAGTGGGGCCCCCGGTGTCTTGAAAGCTTCTAACCAGAGTCAGTTTTTTGGCACCATGACAGAATGCTTGCAGTAAACCGATTCAGAGAGGAAAAGGGTGATTTGGATTCACACTTTTGAAGGTTTCAATCCATGGTTGGCTGGTTCTTTTGCCTTCACACCTGTGACAGACTCTCGTGGTGGAAATGTAGCAGAGCGTGGCTTACTTCCCCAGCAGCAAAGAGAGGACAGGTCTGGGGACAAGATATGTCTGTTAGGGCGACCCACAGTGGCCTACCTTCTTCAGTTTCTCACCTTGTAATGGCCCATCCAGCTATGACTCTATCGTGGCTTAGCCCACAGATGAAGTTAGTTCCCAAGTGACCTGGGACCAGGCCTGTGACGCTTGCACCTTGGGGGTATTGTCAGTGAACCTGGAGCAGAAGGTTGCATCTCTTGGCACAATTCCTGGTGAAATGGTGATGGAAGGCTGCCTGTTCTCTTTCAGCTCTGGATCCCCCCTGCCTTTGGCTGCCGCCCCGAGTATGACAACGGATTGGAGGAGATTGTCTTTGGCTTTGAACCTTGGATAATCGTGGTCAACCTGGCCATGCCCTTCTCTATTTTCTACCGGATGCACGCAGCTGCTGCCCTCTTTGAGGTCTATTGTAAGATCTAGCTTGGGTCCTCATGAAAGGAGAAGGGACACTGGGACAAGCCACCTGGGAAGGGCTGGGCTGAGCAAACACTGTCCGACAAAAGCTAAAAGGAGGCCTTTTGTCTGCTTGACAGTGTGGAGGTGCCCTCGTCCTGGGTGAGAGTGAACAGTTAGATCAACTGCACAGGGTGGCTGGAGCCTGCCCCTGGTCAGCCAATTCCAATTGGATCCAAAATGACTTGAGCTCCCTTTGGCTGAGACCCCGTGTTTTAGAAGAAGGCGACCCAAGTTTGAGGGGTGGGAATGATGGGGTTTTTCATAGCATGCATTTCCTGTCTGTAATTTATGTGAGTGTGTACAACTTTTTCCTGTCCATCTGTGTAGCAATCAATTAAAAAAATTTTTTTTTCCTTCTCAGGGCTACTAAGTTTAGAAACAAATGCACTTTAGTTTGTAGTTTAATTTTTGAGCTGGCCTAGTTTTGGGCAATATTACTTTGAGTTAACTGCATGGGAATGCATATCTAGATTAATGCAAACATATGGCATTAACTAAAATTTTGGCTCATTTTTATTTGTGATCATTTTGAAGTATAAAAAAATAAACATTGCTGTTCTCTTGTTTTGCTGCATCTAACTCCAGATAATTATGTAGAAAATCTGCCCACTTTGGAACAGGAAAAATTACCCACATTGCATTGTTAACAGTTACTTTGAATGTTATGCCCTATCTTTTGGCTGTGAGGTGTGTAGAATATTTTTTTTTATTGTCGTACCCACCAGTGATAACCTGGCATTTCTAATTCTTTCCCTCATGCTTTACTACTTGACAATACGATGACACCTTTTCCTGTACTGTCAAAAACTCTTTACAAACATCACTTTACTGCTGTTGGCTTTTTATCAAGCAAGTGCACCACACTTAACTTCCTTTGCCTCTGTTGGTTTTAAAGTGCTCATAATGTTGCTTTCCTAATTGGCCCTGCAAAAATCAACCATGTTTGTAAAACATTCCTTTTATTTAAAGTTGCTTCTTAAGAGAGATGGCTGGCCTTCCGTGTACATTGGTCCACATCTGCATCCAGCCAACTTGGGAGGATGTTTTTAAGAGCTGGGCCAGGGAGGTAGCTTGCTGCTCTCAAAGAGGACCAGAGTTTGGTTCCCTGAGTGGCATCAGTTGGTTTACAACTGCTTGTAATTGTAGCTCCAGAGGAGCTGACATCCTTTTATGGCCTCCAAGGGTACCTGCACTCACATGCAAGGGTGTACTTCCGCCACCCAACAAATAGAAATAAAATAAAGCTTCAGAAAAGGAATCGCCTCTTACAGTTTTTTTTTTTAAAATGTGGCGTTTGCCTTGGTGTGTGTGTGTGTGTGGGGGGGTCTTGTACCCTAGCTAGGATCTACCCAAGGATGGTCTTTGACTTCTGATTCGCTTGTCCCCACCTCCCAAGTGGCAGGGTTTCAGGCTTGAACTGCCATGTCTGGTTTAATGCGATTCTGGGGAAATGAACGTCATGTACCACCTGAGTGAGCCATATCTCTAAGACTCTTCTTAGAATTTTTAAATGCCCTAGAGATGATCTGAAGCCTGCAAGAGGAGATACACAGGCTGTATGTTACCTGTTGCTAAGGGACTTGAGCACCTATGCGTTCAGGTAGCAACATAGATCTCTGGGACCAGTTTCCTATGGACAGCAAGGGACATCAGGAAGCTACTCTCAAAGCTTGTGAACTTTTGGTCGGGGGAGGGGGTGTTCAGACAGGGTTTCTTTGTAGCTTTGGAGCCTGTCCTGGAACTCACTCTGTAGACCAGGCTGGCCTTGAACTCACAGAGATCCACCTGTCCCTGCCTCCCGAGTTTTGGGATTAAAGGCATGTGCCACCACTGCCAGGCTGCTTGTAACATTTTTGTCTCCTAAGGAATACTGAAACTGGGGGGTAAGTCTTTAGATGGCATTTACAGAGCTATTTTGAAACTGTAATGACGTGAGTGTACTGATGGTAAATACCAGTGTGAACACAGTTACATCGGAGTGGGTTGTTTTTTGACAGGCAATGGTGTCGGAAGCTGTCTTTGTAGGGCTGCAAAGGTAGCCCCACCTCAGATTCAGGTCTGTTGTTATTTAGAATAAGACAGCCAAACATCCTACTGTAGTCACACCTTTGGCCTTTAGGGCTTATGACTTGCTGAGGACAGCTTTGAACTCTCTGTCCTTGTGCCAAAATGGAGGGCAGCCATCTTTATGGGCACTGACACAATGGAGGCATCATGGATTTTGTTTGTTTTCCCTGAACGAGAAAAACTGTTTTTTTTTGGGGGGGGCGCTTTAAAAAATAGGCATATATTCCAAAAACCAAAAGATATTTAGATCATTTTCCTTGTAGAACACTGGTTCTCAGCCCAGGGTCTTGGCCCCCAGAGGACATATGGTGACATCTGCAGACATGTTTAGTTGCTCTCAATGTGGGAGCTGCTGTCATCCAGTGGTAGAGACCAGGGGCACTTCTGAACATCCTACAATACAGAAGAGAGCTGACCCTGAAGAACCTTCTGGTCTCAAACAGCAGTGGTACACTGAGGTTGAGAAATCACGATGCAGGCACAGTGGCTATTAACTTGGGAGTTCCCAGGTACCTGCTAGTAAGTACAAACACATGTACACCTGCACAAGCACACACACACACACACACACACACACACACACACTGAGGCGCCCCAAACAAGGGCCATTCTTATATGCATTGAACTTGGATGTAATCACTGTTTTTCTTAACTCTACATGTTTCTCAGCCATTTCCCAATCCCCATGGCCCCGGTCCTTACCCTTTACCCTGCATGGGCATCACCTTGGGACTTCACAGTGACCCCTGCCCTCCTGGCTGGAAGTCCAGATGCAGTGAGTCTGGAGTGGCTGAGGCCTGCCCTTTCATCAGTGTCTTGTTAACCCCTCCCCCACAGAAGCATCTGCTTTGGAGCCTGTCGTGTAATTCATTACTGTTAAGGCTCTTACTGGCTCTGCTCTCGTGGTGTTGGGATATAATTAAGGGGGACTTTGGAGACCATTTCCTGGAGACTCATACCTAATGCTTACTACAGAGTCAGTATTTTTTTTTTTTTTTTTTTAGGAGACTTTAAATCTAAGCTTTGATTTACACCACTCTATTTGGTCCTCTATGACTTAGGACATTCTGGCACATCCAGGAATTTTCTTTTGCTGTTGCCATCCCAAACTGCACCATGGAGAACACTTTAATTTCTGAGTCTGTGGATTTTCCCAGAGCCTGTTTTACGGCCCAGCAATCAAAGTATGAGAATGCACTTTGAATTTTGGTTGACATGAACTTGACCTCTCTTCTAGGCCTCCAGTCAGCTGGAGGCCTCAGTTTCTGGATTTAGGCTTCTGCCAAGAAGAGGGAGGGAGCCATAACATTGGACCCTACTAACTGGGCTGTAATAAGAATGACCCGGTTTGAGCTTGGCCAAGTCAGCACAACCTCGTTGGGCTCAGAGTCTTTTAGTGGTGACCATTACAAGGAGTAACCCACCTTGCCCCAACAGCAGACTGAGCTGTGGTTCCCATCTGCTAGCCATCAGGATTTCTGCCTTAACTTTGGCCAAGGGAAAGCTTGTTTTCTTCATGCTGGGGCAATTCGCTAAAGCCAACGATATCCAAACTGTAAGTTCTCTGTGCTAAAATAAAGGGAAGGCAAATTAAGGCAGGGATGGATGGATTTCCCACGCATCTGACTGGCAAGACTTGGCAAGACACATTGGTCTCATTTCTGTTACCATGGTAGAATATGATATCTCTGAGTCTGGGTATCTATTGAGAAAAGAGGTTTACTTATTTCATAGTTTTGGAGATTGTAAGTCCAATCAGCATGGGTGGGCTCCGGTCCCATCTGGTGAAGGCCCTGGGGCACGGCATTGTGGGCAGATCAAGGAGGAGGTATCAGGACAGGACAAGGAGTCTGAGGGAAGGGAAGGCCAAGCTTCCTCTTACAGAAGTGCTCTGACGAAGACTAACTCTGTCCTATAAGAACTGGTTTAATCCTCCCGAGGGCATGTCCTCAGTGACTCAATCTCTTCCCACTAGACTCCGCCTTCAGAAGTCCCATCATATCTCACCGTCACCACCGCGAGGACAGAGCCTCTGACACACGAGTCCTTGGGGGATACCCTATGTCTGGGTCAAAGCAGTGTGGAAGAAAGAGGACCCATGGTGGCTGTGGATGAGAGATGAACTGGTAAGAACCAGCCTGAGTAGCTGCTGGCAATAGCTGGGGAATGAGGCTGGAAGTGCTCGTTTCAAAGACTGGGCACGTCCAGACCTCTAGAGGCTCTTAAGACCCGCTCAGCGGTGACCAAGTGTTTACAGCAACATCGCCTGAAATAGGGCAAAGTGGAGAGCATCTTGGACGTTCGTCAGGAGTGTGGATACAGTGTGGACAGCTCCCACAGTGGGGTACCCTCCCCCCCGGGTGTGAAAGAGGATGGCTCAGAACTCTGCGTTTCAATGTGGACCATCCTCAAACAATGTTCAAGGAAAAATACATAGCACAGAAGTATGGACAACATGAAATTACCCACAAGGTGCTTAGAAACAGTCAGGGCAGTCCCAGACACACTAATGCTCTGGGAGACAATGTGTGGTCAGAAGTACAGACAGATTAGGAAAGAAGACCAAGCTCAGTGTGGTGAGCAGCATGGGGATGGATGGAGACCACGGTTCAAGTACATTCAGTGCCTCAAATATCCCCCCCCCCCTCTGAGACAGGGTTTCTCTATGTATCCCTGGCTGTCCTGGAACTTGCTCTGTAGGCCAGGATGGCCTCAAACTCACAGAGATCTTTCTGCCTCCCCCTCCTGAGTCCTGGGATTAAAGAAAGGTGTGCGCCACCACAACCCAGCATATTTTCACTCTTAAGCAAGGAAATCATACAGAGGCATCCATTATGTTTCCCTTGGTACTTTTTATATGCATGTGATGTCTTGTAGTAAAAACATCTAAAGAATAAGAAAGAAATTAGACAAAGCTACCCCAGGAGGTT